CAGGCACCACCCTGGCCAACGCCTCTTCTCCACTGTGGCCCCTCCTGGTTCTCTTCCTTTGGGTCCTGCCAGAGACCTGTTTCTGAGGAACAGCTACTGTTTCTGAGAAGCTACTCAGCCTGCAGATGAAATGGAAACTCATCCTTGGGCCTACAGGGACTCTGGAGCTGCCATTCACACCTACCCCAGATGTGGATTTGATTTGATGTTCCAGGCCAAATCCCATTGAGCAAATCCCATTATGGAAAAGCTCCTGGGGATGAGCTATCTCTTCAGAGGCAGAGACCAAGGCCTTTGGAGCTACCAAGCAGCACACAAACCCCTCTGACAAAGGACTGCAGGAGGCCTTGAAGTCACTTCTCACCATGTAGCCCTGGCTGGCATGGAACTCGATATGTAGATCAGGCTGGCCTAGAATTTACAGAGATCCACCTGACTCTGCCTACCAAGTACTGGGATTAAAGGTGTGTGCCACCACACTCAGTTTAAAACATTTTTAAAAAGATTTATTTACTTTCTATTTTATGTGTGTGTCTTCATGAGTCTATATGCATCAAATGTATGCAGTGCCCACAGAGGCAAGAAGAGGGAGTCAAACCTCCTGAAACTGGGGTTACAGGTGATTGTGAGCTGCCTTGTAAGTGCTGGGAATCAAATCCAGGTCCTCTGCAAGAGCAATCAGGGCCATCTCTCTAGCGCCCTCCATGTTGATCTTCTCATTGTTTCTTAGACCTGCTGGGTGTGCTTCCACCCCAGGGCCTTTGCACTTACAGGCTCCCTTATTTGGAAAGCCTTCTGTTGGGACCTTCTTCGTGTGACTGGTTCTTTTGTACTGTGCTTGAGGAGGTCTTCCCTGGTCTCCCTCTCCCCCTATGCCCTTCTATATTTCCTCTGCAACAGTTCAGTATTTCTAATCCATGCATTTATTTGTGGTTAGCTTACTTCATGAGACCAATGCTCGAAGAGGGAGCTGGGATTATTCACTGATGTATCCCAATGAATATGCTTATGTGCTTAGGGTCAGGTAGATAACAAGCGCTCAGTAAATATTATTTGATTCCTATGCATGAATTCAGCAGAGCCTTTCTGGGAGCCTCATAGACATCAGGCACAGTGCAGGCACTGAGGTTTCAGAGGCTGAGAGAGCTTACAAGCCAGAGCTGGGCCCATAGCACATTCCGTGACATGTTTGTTGGATGAATAAATGAATGCATGGATGTTATCTTTGAGAAATAACAGTGTTTGGTATTACTGGGCATACAGGAGAAGATGGGATAGGTAAGAAAAGGTCCGATCACAAGAAGTCTTTGTTGGAAGGTACTGAGAAGCCCTTGACAGTTCTTGAATGATGCAATCAGATTTGGCATTCTTTGCAGGTACCATATGAGCGTGAAGTCTGTGCCTTGCCTCCTCCCCTACCCACCTGCTCTTCCCCCCTCTCTTGTCCCATCATCTTTTCTGAGTTGGTGAGGAGCAGAACTGGAGAATCAAGCTGGATGTCATTGTTATTGTGTCCCTCGCCCCCACCCCTGAGCCTCCTCATATACACTGTGCTTTGAATAAAAGGGAAGGGGCTTCTGAGTCTATTTCTGGGGTCCAGGCTTCCTACAAGGGGGAGCAGGGTTTGTGTTTGTGTGGTGTGGGGACTAGGATGGGTGAAAACTTTTTTTTTTCTTCCCGTCTTTTCAAGACAGGGTCTCCCTATAGTCCCAGCTGGCCTGGAACTTGCTATGTAGACCAGGCAGGCCTCGAACTTACAGAGAGATCCGCCTGCCTCTGCCTCTGGAGTGCTGGGATTAAAGGTGTGTGCCACCACTCCTGGCAGAAAATTTCTTAATTTAGGTGGAGAGTGGGGTCTAGATTGAGAACCTGACCTACTTGGGAACACTGATGTTTCCCAGCCCCAGGGTAGTTTTAGTATCTTGATTTTGCTCTGGGTTCCTCTTCCCCTCTCCTATACCCCACAGCAAGTTCCCCAGGCTGGGGACACCTATCTTAAAGATCAGGAAGACACACACCCAGCCCAGTGCTCAGCCCTGCTCACAACCCCCACAAAGTCCAGCATCTTGCTCTTACCCCTTTGGTGGCAAAGACTCGGGAAGCATTTGCACATGCAGGGTGAGTTTGTTCATTCTCTGAGCACAGAGTGGTCCAGTGCACCCTGCTCACCTCCTGCTTCCCCCTTCAAACCCAGAAACACACAGTATTTTTGCCATCTTGGAAGGGTTCAATGGGCTCCAACCAGCCTAAATCTCACCGCCAGAGCCTGTGGGTAACCTGCTTTTGGCCTGGTTCTGTGCAGAGCAGAGAGAATGAAGCCTGCAGGATGAAGGCTGGTCTTAGGAGGGTAATGTAGTCAGGGTCTACTCCAGTGCTCGGGTCCCAGAAGAGGCATACCATCCATCTTCTGCCAGCTGCCCAGGAAACAGATGACTGCATGACCCTGGTGTAAGACTCGCCAAAGGATTCATATGGATCAGTTCAGTCCTTGGGTGTCCATGGCAGGAGAGCTGGGGTGGCCATTACCCTGGCCCTGGCCCACTGGTAGAGGCATAAGCCTTTGTACACCTCAGTGTTTTCATCTGTGAAATGGGTACTTAGCTCTGTTTCCATGTCTCCATAGGGCTCTGAACTGGGGGTATCATGTGAGTGAATGGCTAAGAAGAGGGGTAAAAGGGAGGGTGCCACTGAGGAGGCTTATGGGAGCAGGGCCAGGTTTCCCCAGCTCTACCCAGGGGAAGGCATGTCCCAAGCAGAGCTCTCCTGGTCCTCCCAGCTACCCTCTGATGAGGCTGCCCTCACTGTCCTTTTTCCTGGGATCCAGAGGGTCATGGGTTTGTGTACCACCTCCTCTCCAGTCGCACAACTGTTACATGCAGAAGCTCTGCATCTGTCCAGGGCCTGAAGAACACACATCTGTGCCCTTCAGCTGCTCTCTTCCCTCAGAGCCTCTGTGGACAAGTCATTGGAAAGACAGGTGTCTTCTGAAGGGGTCTGGCCATGCCTTCCCCAATACCTGCAGTCTGCCCAGTCCCCAGAGGCAGACAACGAGGCCACAGTGAAGCTGCAGGCCTGGCAGGGGTTGCCCTGTGTCCTGCTCAGAGCTGGGCAAGTGATGGGCCTCCTTCCCATATGGGTGGCATCCTCAGGAGGCACCCAGAGGCCAGGGCCCTGCAGGACAGGTCTGTGGGGGCTCTGCAACCCTTACCTTTGCCCCCTCCCCTGGCCAGGTGGGGTCACTGTGCCTGTGTCACTCTGTGGGGACTTTCACCAGAGCTGTCTGCCCCTGCTGTCTCGGAGTGCTCCATAGCAGGTCCCACCTCCCCTAGAAGCTTCCTTGGACCTCTGAGCAGTCTGGGTGCCCTCCATGGCTCCTATACCCCAACCTATATCCTTTAAGCCCCTCGCTGCTCTGCACCTTGAGGGTCTTTGTTCATTACCCAGACCTTCCCCTTCCAGTCCCCGACTGGGGCAGGGACTTTGTTCTGAAGATCCACAACTTCAACCTGGAACCTGGGGCCAGACTTACCACAAATAAGTGTCGAAAGACCAAGTCAGCACCCCAGTGTCCCAACGCCCATTCTTTTGACTAGGTTTCTGCAGACCAGTTCTCCAAATGTCAGTTTGGGCGTCCACACTAGATGGGAGGCCCTACTGATGAGTGAGGCCAAGTAGGGTCAGGAGTAAAGGCCATAGACAGTGGGGGCTCACAGGATCACAGAAAGTGCCTGGAAAGCTATTTAAAAGCACAGGTCTTGGGCTGGCAAGATGGCACAGTGGATAAAAGGCACTGGATGCCAAGCCTGACAACCCAGGTTCTATCCCTGGTACCCACATTGTGGAGGACAGAACCGATTCCTCTGAGTTGTCCTCTGACTCCACATGCACACTGTGGTGCGTGCACACACGCACACACACACATAAATAAATAAATAATAAATAAATAAATAATAAATAAATAAATAAATAAATAAATGTAAAAAAAATACAAGCACAAGCCCTGCACTTTGGCACTGTAGGGGTAGGAGCTCAGAGTCCAGACAGTCAAAAGTGGCACAAATTTACAGGGGGGCTGGGGGTGTATGGAATAGGTCAGCCTTTCTTTAGTGCATGTGAAGACGGGGCATCCCAGTGTAATGGGAGGGGCACAGAAAGTTCCCTGACTGATGAGAGAGACCGCCATCTAGTGCACGCAGCCATTTCTGTGTGCATTAGCTCGTTCATTCATTCACCCATCCGGCTGGCAGGCCCAGATGTCTTTATCTAGTTAGTGTATTTATTCACTCATGCATTCATTCATTCATTCATTCACTCACTCATTCAGCTGATGGGCTCGGGGTGCCCTTTGGGCAGTTAGTATATTTGCTAATTCATGCATGCTTGCATCTATTCATTTATTCATTCATTCATTCATTCACTTGTTGAGCTGATGGGCCCAGGATGCCCTTTATCTAGTGAATCTATTTGCTCATATATGCATGCATTCGTTCAGCTGACAGACCATTCATGTATGTGTGCATGCATGCATCCATCGGTTCATTCATTCATGCATGCGTGCATCTATCCATCAGTTCATGCATGCATTTTTCCATGGGTGCACACATGTATGCATCCATTGGTTCATTCATTCATTCAGCTTATAGGTCCAGAGTGTTCCTTATCTATTTAGTGTACTCTGGCATCCGTCCATCCATCCATCCATCCATCCATTTAATCAGTAGACCTGTGATATCCCTTATCTAGTTTATTTATTCCCGAATGCACCCACTCATTCATTTGGCAGAAAGCCCAAGGTAATCTGTCAAGGCAGCCTGTAGGTACATAGAGGTGACTAAGGGCCTGCCCTGCCCCCTGGAGCTCTCAGTGGGGAACAGCCCCATGGGCCAGCACTTTGACAGGGAAAACACTGGAGACCAGTGCCCACTTCCTGCTGGCCGACCTGGTCCCTACATGCTAATATCCTGTGGTCCACCCTCCGGCACTGACCATCTCTCCTGCAGGTGATGAGCATCCTCAGCAACCCGAGCGCGGTGCCCCCGCAGCCCCAGGCCGACTTCTCCATCTCCCCGCTGCACGGTGGCCTGGACTCAGCCTCATCCATCTCAGCCAGCTGCAGCCAGCGTGCTGACTCCATCAAGCCAGGAGACAGCTTGCCCACCTCCCAGTCCTACTGCCCACCCACCTACAGCACCACCGGCTACAGCGTGGACCCTGTGGCTGGCTACCAATATGGCCAGTACAGCCAGAGTGAGTATTCCCGTCCCTACATGCTCTCTAAGGGACCTGCTCATTCCTAAGGGGCTGTAAGGTGGCATGGGGGTATCTCTAAAATCTAAAAAAATTTGTATGTGGTTGTGATGTATATGTGAGGGTGTTCACATGTCATAGCACATGTGTAGAGGTCAGGAAGTCAGTTCTTCCTCTCTACCTTTATGTGTATTTTAGAGATCGAACTCAGGTTGTGCCTTTACCTCCTGAGCCATCTCACCTACCCCCGTGTCTCTTTTACAGATGGGAAAATGGAATTTTGGAAAGGAGACAGAGCTGATTTAAGATGCTCTGAGCTGGGTGTCAGACCCAGGCCACCTCCTGGCCAGGCCCCTGTGCATGTTCTTGAAGCCACAAATGCCATTACCCCTTATAGCCACATTTTAAAGTTTGAGACAATGTGGAATTATTTTCACTAGCATATTTTATTTAACCCAATATAGCCAAAGATGATCACTTCAGCACACAATCCATGTTATTAATGAGATAGTTTTTAAACTTTGATGCCCAGTGGGTTGTTGTTTGATGGTACTAGGGATGGAACCCAGAATCTCGCCCATGCTAGTCCAGAACTCAACCACTGAACTACATCCTCAGCCCTCCTTGTACTTTGTATTTTGAGGAACTTTTGTGTTTTTTGGAGACATGATCTCACTATGTAGCCCCAGCTGGCCTAGACCTTGCTACGTAGACAAGGCTGATCTTAAACTCAGAGATCCTCCTGCCTCTGCCTCCTGAGTACTGGGACTAAAGGCATGTGCCACCACACCTGACTATTTTTTATTTTGAGACCAAGTTCTCACTGAGTTTGTCCAGAGAGGCCTGGAACTCACTCTGTAGCCCAGACAGGCCTTGAACTTGGCAACCCTCCAGCCTTCTGCATAACTGGAATGACAGGCCTGTGCCACCAGGCCTAGCTCAGTGTGTTCTATCCCTGTGGCAAATGTTAAATTCAGACACTAATTTTTCACCAAAATACTTGAGCTATACTTAAAATATATAGAGTTTGCAGTTGAGAAAGTAGAGTTATACACACAGGTTCTGCCAAAGACTTCGAAGTTTTTCAACCATGAAACAACTAAATTGCAGATTGGCTTTTAAATTTAAATAACATAAAACTAAGTGAACACCTGAGTGCTCACACCCTGCTGTGCTAGGCATGGGTCAAGTCCTGGGCAGCCACGTGTGGCTTGTGGCAACCAGTGGGGACAGCGCAGTAAGGATCCAGCTCTCTCTGCCCCCTGGAAGGCTGTGTACGGACCTCAGTCCTCCGCTCCACCCACCCCCCCCCGCCAGTTTCCAGAGTCTTGAGTGCCCACTCCAGCCACGATCACCTTGGCACCTTGCCTGGATGTAGGGAGACAGACCCTCAGACCAACAGCTTGGAAAGACAGGGCCAGACACTGCCTCGGGTCACCTAATGGGGCCAGCAGCAGGGCAGGCCCAGACAGGATAAGGAGCCAAAGGTCACAAGGCTGCCCTCCTGCCACCTTCCAGAAAAGGCCTCACCTGCTGGTGTCAAACTAATCAGGAGGGTGTGTGGGGAGAACGGAGGCCTCCAGCCTGAGGGCGTCCTTTCCTCCAGCTGCCGCTTGACCCTGCCACACTGACCTCTGCTTCCTGCAGCCCCAGTCCACTCCAACCCAATGGCCTTGGCCTCCATGCTTAAATGAGGGCCAGCTGTGTGGGCCTCTACCTCCCATGTGCATGTGTGTGTGTGTTTGCACATGTGTATGTATATCATGGACCTGTTACAATCCTTGTGTCTGTCTACACACTGGATACAAGTGATGTGTCTAAGTATTTTGGAGCTATGCAGGATCCAGATCTTCACAGAAAAATGAGCTACTCATAGTTATGATGAACATACATGCACACATATGCACATAACTACATACATGCACATATAAATGACCATTTTGTTTACACATGGTATATGTATGAATACACACATACATGTGATGGTATATGATGTGCATCCAGGTGATTCTGATGGGCTGGTATGTCTATGTATGTGTCTGTGCATTTGGTATATGTGTGGATGTCCTTTGGGCACAGACAGTAAGTATGTCTGCCTGTACATAGGTGTGTATGGATGTGTGGTAAATGTGGCTGTGTGTATATGTTGCAGATGTACATCTGGGCTTGAGCATGTTTGAAGATGTCTGTGATAAGGCATGTTTTGGTGCTTGTATAGCATGCTATGTGAAGCTGGGTATGCTCATGTGGCATGTCTGCATGTGACTGTGCATATGGCTATATGTGTCAGACTGTGGGAGTGTATGTTTGCATGACCATGCATGTGAATATGTGTGCATGGGGAGCATACCTCTGCATGTATGTCTGAACAGGATATACCCATGTGTATAGGAACCTTTACAGCAGGGCTCTGGTGACCCCCTGACCCAGCACATGTTCCCATCTCAACTCAGGACACACATGCTCTTGATAAAAGATTTGAGAGCGGCAGCATGGCTGGGCCCGGGGCAGGCGTTAGTCACACCCGGAGCCCTGAGCCTGTGCCCTGCTCCAGGGCGCCTGACCAATTCGGAAATAAAATTAACCCCAAAGTCAGCATGGGATGGTGGGGGAGGGGGATCAAAAGGGAAGGGGCCCAAGAGGCCAGAAGGGAGAGGCAGTTACCCTCCTTCTCCTTCCTCAGCCCTCCCTTCCTCTCCCAATCCCCTGTTGCTCCCAATCCCTGTCTTGGACCCGTTCTCCAGCCCACACAGACCCCACTCACTGAAACTTAGTTTGAGCTAGAAGTGAGCTCCTCTGCCACCAGGTGTCTCAGGACAAGCTATACACTCACCTCTGAGTCTCAGCTTCCCATCTGCACAATGAGGCTGAGTATTTAGACACATCATCTCAGGTTTTCCATCAGGCCTCCTTCACTATTGACATTCTGGGGCAGGCCAGGGACATGTCACGTTCCCATTAACCACTTGCCCACATTCCCCAGGCCACTGAGCACACAAGTGGCTGGGCTCCCTAATGAACAGAGAGTCATGCATCCTGAACTTTCCCTGTGTGTGTCCTGATCTACCTGCTGCCTCCCATCCTATGCTTGAATCTAGCCCCCAGAGCACTGGGTAAAATGTGCACACCCTATTCATGCAACTCTCAAAGTTACTGGTCCCCAGCTTGTAGGTGCAAAACTCAGGTTCAGAGGCACAGTAGCTTTCCCAAGGTCTCTCAGCAGGGAAATGGTGACCAGAGCCTCCCAATTTCAAACCACAGGTGAACCAGACTTATATAAAACACTTGGCAGAGATTTAAAGAGACACTCCTATATGCAGACTTGTGTTCCAGATGGGCACATGGACACACAGACCTAAATATGAGTCCTACTGAGCATGTGCACACTGAGTCAAGGTACAACTATGCCAGGTGTGTGTATGAAGGGAGGAGCCATGACTGTTTATTGAGCATCTACTATGCTATCGGCATTCTGTCCACACAGTTCCCCAGAGCTGTGTGCGTGGTTATTAGAGCCTCTAATTGCACTCTACAGAAATGGTATTTAGAGGTTACTTGCCCAAGGTATCAAGGGATGGGTAGCTATGCCTGCACCCCAGCCCTCAAGGGCCACTTCCAGGTGTACTTAGAACATATACATGACCCAACGCATAGGCAGGAGAGCTGTTCTCATCTCCTAGGGCCTGTCACCTTCCCAGGGACACCTTCACACTTCCCTTTCCTGCTCCAGCATGTCCATCCATCTGCCCATCTCTCCCTGTCCCTGGAGGGGTGGGGGCAGGGGGCCAGGGACGGGGCACATGGTAGATTAATATGGCCCTGGTGTTCCCAGAGGCCAGGGCCACTCTAATGATGGGGCTGATAGAACGCAGAAGTGTGAAAAGAATTTTAATAGATCTGACAAGTCTAATAAGGATTTGTGTCTAGAAGGGTCCTCCTCTGGGGCCGCGGGCTGACGAGGCACTGACGGCTGAGATTTGTTTACTGGTTGGCATCGCCGGCCCATCTCCTGCCAACTCTTGATTAATCTAATTGGAGACGTTCAGAGCCCAGGCAGGGCGTGAGGCAGTGGAAGGGAGAACATAGAGGGACAGAAGGACAGGAGGGCTGATGACAGATGCCCTAATGGGAAATGTTGCCACCCTGCCTTCTCTCTGGCCCTTTGGCTCTACCCTGGATCCTTGGGTGCCCCAGAGTTGGCAGGGGTGGCTAGAGAGTTTGGTAACCTAGTACTTTCTTGGCTGCCTCAAGGAAGGACTGGGAAAGCTCCTATTGTGTGCTGAGTGGTGGTGGGTACTCCAGGGAGAGTAGGTAGAGGCGTCAAACCATTCTTTCTTTTTATTTTCTTTTTGTGTGGGTATGTATATGTATGCATGTGTGCAGATGTGTGCAGGTGCATGTGGAGGTCAGAGGTCAAGCTCAGGCGTCATCCTCAGATGTCTACTTTTTAAAACTTTTTATTTTGTGTATATGAGTATTAGGCCTGCATGTATATAAGTACTTGCACCTGTGTTGTGCAGTGCCCTCAAAGGTCAGAAGAGGGTGTCAGATCCCCTGGAACTGAAGTTATGGATGGTTGTTAGCTGCCTTGCGGGTGCTGGGAATTGAACCCCAGTCCTCTGCAAAGAGCAGCCAGAGTTCCTAACTACTGAGCCACTTTTCCAATCCCATTCACTTTTTTTTTTTTGAGATGTCATCTCTCAATGGTCAGGAACTCACCCATTAGGCCGGTGAGCCCCAGAGACCCCCTGTCTCCACCTCCCCGGTGCTGGGGTTATAAGTGCTGCCATGTCTGTTTTTTAATGTGGGTTCTAGGGCTCAAACGCAGGTCCTTACATTTGCTCAGCAAGTACTTTGCTAACTGAGCCATCTCCCCAACCCCAAGGGCACCCGTTCAGGCTCCTCCAGATCACATGCTAAGTATGACTCAGAACCGGTAACTGCTGTGCCTCAGTTTCCACCTTTGTCAAGTGGGAACAGTCCAGCATGAGGCACAGGACTCGTGTCCCCCTAGTACACAGGACATGCCAGCTAAGCGCGGACTTTGCCTTTTCAGTTCTCATTGCTTAGCAACGGCATCAAGCCCACTGTAGGAACAGCTGCAGAGGTGGTGTCGGGTCAGCATGGTATGGGCTAGAGCAAGGTAGGATGCAGTCTTCTGGGACTCGGGAAAGGTCACCTGAGGTGGCATGTGCCCTTAGTAGACCATGGCATCGCCTAGAGTAGAAATGGGATGATGTGGGTATTGGGGGGGGGGGTGAAAAGTGCCTCACAGAGTCTTGAGGGCTGCTTATACACCAGGGATAGTCCCAGGGGTTGCTGTTGAGGCCTTTGTCACCCGGCACCCAGCTGCCTGACTTTGAAAGCACAGGGGTCAGCTAGTTTCAGTGATGCATTCTCTCAAGTCTTCAGCTCTCCCTTCTGTCAAACAGGGACAGGGAATAGACATGCTACCTCCTTGTGAAACTGAGGTGAGACGGACAGACACCGTGAGTACATGGCTGGGAACAGAATGGCATATCTGGCTCTCTGCAGCTGCCATTTCTGTCCAGCCTGTGCCTGTCACCCCTCTAAGAGGGTGGCTTATTGGTTTTTGCACCCTGGTACTTAAGGAGGAGAGGCAGTATGGTTAGAGCTGCAGGGTCTTCCCAAGGCTAGAGCTGGCTAGGAATCCCACACTCCCTACCCACAGCTGGGCAGAACTGGCCACAGCTGCCTCTGTTCTACCAGTGACATCAGGGGAGGCCCAGGCAACCCAGGAGCTCAGCACAGGACTCCTTCCATTACTCACCTTGAACCTGGTAAGCTAAGATGCACAGAAGGCCCACACTCCAGAGACCCCAGGGCATTTGCACATCTTTCGAAGTCTAGGGGACCTTGCCCCGAGCCCTCTGTGACCTACATGTTTGAGGACACTGTTCCCTCCTCGTTTCGCAGATGGACAAACAGACCTAGAAGAGACTAGTTTTCTCAAAGCTACATGACAGAAGTGGCCTCCTCCTTGGCAGCCCTTCCTTTCATGCCTTCATTAAAAGTCACACCTGCGCTGGGCCCAAACTCACAATGCCACACTTGGCCTTCATGACCATTTTTGTGCATTCTCTCAAGGCTCTCCCCCCATCCCAACCTCCTGCTGTTAGTCCTCACATACAGATGAGAAAACTGAGGCTGAGGTGGTGTGCCCCAGATCACATACTCAGAGTTGACAGGCGCAGGATTTGAATGTAGGTCACTGGAATCCCCATGTGATGCAACTCACATGTTGATATTGTCCTGGCCTCCCTGGTTTGGCTATCAGTCCACGTCTATCACCTCCTGGCTCTACCCCCTACCTTAGGGCTAACAACCAAAAAATGAAAGGTTCGGTTCCCACCCCCTACCTTAGGCAGGAGGCTCCAAGCTTGGGGAAGCCCTGGCAGGCAGGTGACAGAGGGAACACTGACCAGACTTCTTGTGGCTCCTCACACAGAGCTTTTTGTATCTTCCCCTCTGTGTCCTGGGTGGGTGGGGAATGGGTTGGCTACAGCCACAAAGCCTCACCTGGAAGACAGCATCCTGATCTCAGGAGGCCTCAGCCATGTGTCTGTCAAGTGACTTGGTTAGGACGATTTCTGCTATAACGTCAGGCAGGGCAGAACTCATAGGCCTGCGGGCCAGCAATTGCAGCTGCCCCTGACAGATAGGTGCCTAGGACCCTCCCGGTGAGCTCTCCTGTTCACTGTATCTGTGTGTACATGGGTACATGGTCATTCCTAGTGTACATCTGCTCACATGGCTCACGCGTGTATGTGTAGCACTTGGGCATGTACAGGTATTGCTCCATGTGAACATTCAGGCTGTGCTTCATAGAGATGCTGGTTTCCTCTGATCTCAGAGCTCTCTCTCTCTCTCTCTCTCTCTCTCTCTCTCTCTCTCTCTCACACACACACACACACACACACACACACAATGTGCATCACTCACGTGCACACTTCATACTTCACCCAACACTGACCAGAGCTGACAGGCTCAGCCCCCACTCTTCCTCCAGTGACCTCTTGGCTTACCTACAAAGGCCACTTTGGCTCTTGGGAAGGGGTCCTGCTGTGCCTCATCCATGAGCTGCACTCAGGGTCTAGAGAAGGTAGGACTGCATGATCAGTGTTACCTAGACTTAGTCAGCAGGATTCACCAGCCTCCCCAGGGCCTGGGTATGCAGAGGGCTTGCTAGAAGGGGGTTTCAGTTCTCCACTGAGTACTGTGGGGTGTTTGTCTGTACTTTTCTGAAGAACCAATGAGAGACCTAGGTAAATAATAAAGTTGGGGCTGAAGAGATGGCTCAGCAGTTAAGATCACTGACTGCTCTTCCAGAGGACCGGGGTTCCATTCTCAGAACCTACATGGCAGCTAACAACCAACTGTAACTCCAGTTCCAGGGGATCTAATGCCTTCTTCTGACCTCCGAGGGCATTGCACAACATGGGTGCACTTACATACATGCAGGCCTAACACTCATACACATACAATGAAAATAATAAATAAAATATTTTAAAAATTAATTAAATAAAAAATAATGTTAAGGAAATATTTGCTGACTGGTTTAGAGAAGAGGTGAGAGAGAGTCATGAAAAGATGGATAGAAAAAAGCAAAGAAGGGTTAGGAAGAATGGAAGGTGTTCTAATTCCATGTCTGTTGCTCTGACAGATACTCTGACCAAAAGCAATTTAGGGGAAGAAAGAGTTTATTTGGCTTACAACTCCAGGCAGCCCATGATTACAGGAAATCAAGTCAGGAACTTGAGCATCACATCCACAGTCAAGAGCAGACAGGAACAAATGCATCTGTGCTGTCTTCTTGCTTGTGCTCAACTAGCTTTCTTCACTCAGACAGTTCAGGGTCCCCTGCTCATGGAATGATTCTGCCCACAGTGGGCAATTAACAATCAATTAACAATCAAGACAATCCCCCACAGACATGCCCACAGGCCAGCCTGACCAAGACAATTCCTCAACTGAGAATCTCTCCTCAGATAATCTAGATTATGTCAAGTTGACAATAAAAACTGGGATAGAGGAAAAGATGGTCAGAAGGACAGACGGATGGATGGATGGATGGATGGATGGATGGATGGATGGATGGATGGGGTGGATGGATGGATGGGTGGATGGGTGGATGGATGGATGGATGGGTGGATGGGTGGATGGATGGATAAACACATAGATGGACAGATGAGCAGAAAGATGGAAGAATGGAGAGATGGAACAAATGGACAGATAGAATGATGGATGAATGGAAGAATGTGTCGATAGATAAGATGGATGGATAAACAGTTGGACAGATAGGAAGAAGATGGATGGACAGAAGGATGGATAGAAGGAAGGATGAATTGCTGGATGGAAGAATGGATAGATAGGTAGGATGGACAGGAGAGCTGATAAATAGATGGACAGATGGATATATGGAAGAATGGATGGATGAATGCACATAGATAAAGGGATGGAAGGATGGATGTATGGAAGAATGCATAGGTAGGTAAGATGGATGGATAAACATGAGTATGTTTATAGATGAAGAATGGATAGATGGATGGGAGAGTTGATGAATAAGTGGACAGATGGATGGAGGGATAGGTAGACAGAAGAATGGAGGTTAAACAAAAGATAACATAAAAAAAACATCAATTTCTAGGAATTTCTTTCTCTTCCCAGCTGCTGTTGATTACCTGGCCAAAAACGTGAGCCTGTCCACACAGCGCCGCATGAAGCTTGGGGAGCACTCCGCCGTGCTGGGACTCCTGCCTGTGGAAACGGGCCAGGCTTACTAGGGCCCGAGGGACGACTTTTCCTAGCCCATACCCCATCCCAGCCCTTTCTGACCCCTGAGCCTCCCCACCTCAGTTCCTTCATCCCCCTGGGGTCGCAGGAGGCCAAGAAAGGAGTCCCTTTCCTTCTCACCGGCAGCCCTCTGGAGATGGATAACCAGTGTGTCATTCACCAGTGTCTGGGGACCCAGAGTGGCCCTTTGCAGTCGTCCCCTCCCTCTGTTCCCAGAAGGGATCCTAGCCAGCCTGACATGCTCCACAGCTCAAGTTGCTGTGGCTTCAGTTCTATCTCCACATGGAGACTGAGGCTCAACCTGAACCCAGCACCTTGGCACCCAGAGGAGGATGGTGCCCAAGACAAGGTACTCAAGCCCTTGGCCTCTGAGTCCTGGGTGCCCTGCAGGTGATGCTCACAGTGTCCTCAGCTACAGGACTGGGAGCTGTGTGAGGTGGGTCTCTGGCTCAGCACCAGAACCACAGCCCCTTCCACTGGACACCAGGACTCTATCAGAGAGGGCGCCACCTAGGAGTTCAGAACACTCCAGGATCATCCCCACACACCCCTGCTGGGCTTCAGGGGACCTATCAGAAGTGGGGGACAACATAGGAGACTAGGAAGGGACTCTACCAGGGAGTGGAGCACATGGAGGTGAAACTTGTCAGCCATAAGGCATCCCAGAGTACCTGGCCCCAGCTCCAGCACCAGGAGAGCCAGAACTCCCAAGCTACAGCCTCATTTCAAGTTTGTGTGCTGCAGTAAGGGCTGGGGCACCTGCAGAACTTGTCAGTTCCCTCTGTGAGCTGAGGATGGGAAAATCATGAGGTGACAAGAAAACAGGAAGAAGATGGGCTTACAGGGGCTGAAGCTGCTCAGCCTTCGTGTCTACACACCTGAAGCCTACATTTTTGCACACTGTTTTGCTGGGAGCTAGGGGCCTTCCCCATATGTACCAGTCCTTTGGGAAGCTGCACCTCCTTCTTCCAGCTTGTGAGGCCCTTGACACCACTGGGTGCACAGAGTCATCTTCTCACACTGGGCAGAACTGCTGGTCCCCCAGAGAAGACTCCCCAGTCTTCTTGGCATCTCAGTGGAAGGCCATGTCCCTATCCTAATCAGAGTGGCATTTTAGTGTGGACTTCTCTCAGCCAAGAGATTTTTGTCTCCCAATTGGGCACACAGTTCATCTGGGGCACAGTTTTGAAGCCACCACTCCTGGGCAAAGGAAGATGCCAAAGGTCCCAGAGAAAAGGAAAAGACGCATCTAAGCACCCCAGGGTCATCCTCATGTGCCACTCTCTTTAAGAGCTAGGACTTTGGGGGGATGGATGGCTCAGGTCCCCCAATTCTCCTGCCCAGAGCTCTTCGTTACCTTCTGTTTATCAAAATTCTATCCATCCCCACCATCTTCCTCACTGTAATCTACACTTGGACCACCTTTCTTCAGTGCTGCAATGCAGGGCATTTGCAATGGGGGACACAGCACTGAACCCACAAACATTGGGCCCAATTGCTTGTCCCCACCTGGACACATGAGCCCAACCTTCTGGCCCAGTCTGTGCCTCCTGCCCTCAGCCAGCAAGACATTCCTCAAGAGAGGGGCTGCCACTTTGGGAACCCTACCTGACTTCTTTCTGATTGGGGCGCTGGATTGGCAAGACCCTAGACACTTGTCTGTGTGGACATGTGACCAGTGTGCACCTGTTTCTCATCTTCAGACCTCTTTATCTGAAGCCTGTCCTGGGCCATGACTAGGATGGCTCCTATCTGTGGTTTACAGGAGCCTATTTCTAACTGGAGACACTCTGGTAGCAGCAAGTACCAGATGGGCCTCATCAAGTTCCACCTAGGGTTTGACAGAGTGTTCATCAAAGAAACTGGGTTCCTCAAGCTCTGCACAAAAGGAAAGGTCACATTGCTCCTTGGAAACCTACACTCCATGTTTATAGTTCTCACAACCCAAAGCAACCCTTTCAGAGGACCAACCACATCTTCCTCCACATTCCTTCCCCACTCTGGGGATGCCCGACTCTGGGTATGTCTAAGTCTCATTCTATCCTGTATGATTCAGGAGCAGAGACCTCAAGCAGGTGACATCAAAACTTCCCAGCCACTCCCCAGGAGGCACCTTCCAGTGCTTGGACCAATCTCAATGGTCTCCCAAGACCTGCTTGGGAATAAACCAAATGACTTCTCATTCCGTACAAGTCCTCTGAAGTTTCCCCCAAGTCGCCATCTTGGTACAAAATGGGACTTTTTTCTGAGGGGTGCTTGACCCCAACATATGTTCCCCAGCATCCTGTTTTCGTGCGTCTGTCCAACTGGGTCTGTAAATTCAACCTTGTGTGGGTGGGCAGCTTATAGCTTCACCGGAGAGGTGATGTAGGTTGGATGAGAGGCACCAGGCCTCCATCCCTTTGAGGTTGACCACAGCCTAGAAGAAGGCCTGACTGACCCGGAAACACTCCCCATCCCTGTAAATAAAGTCTATAGCAAGAGGGGTGCCCTCCACCTCACCCCAAGTAGCTACTGGTCATACCGGTGGAGGCCCCTCTTCCGAGCTCACTGTACATTAGTTGGAAACGTGGTGCCGTGTTGTTTGTTGATAGGAAGTTGACTTTTTATATATAAATCTATATACTAAAAAAAAAAAAAAGAAAGAACCTCTTTCCCACCCCCACAGTGTGTGTTGTGCTTGTACCAGGGACCATCAGTGAGGATCTTTAACACATCGTGTGTTTTGGGTTAGACATTCCAGGCTCTCTTGGGTTCTTTCCATTTTAATGCTTTGGATTTTTTTCCCTTTTCAGTCCATATTTCTCTCCTGCTATGAAGATGAGCAAAATGGCGCATAAGAATCAAGCTATGCTTTAATTCTCTTATTTTGTACTCAATTCACCTTTGCCCTTCTTTGCCAGAGGACCAGAAAAGAGCAGAGGAAACAAAACGGAGGAATGGGATGGCAGGAGGGGAGGATGTAGCCCAGAAGACAGGAAGAAAGGTCAGCTTTGCAATCTGGCAGTGGCTGGGGAATGGGACCGATCCTAAGAGGTGGAGTTGGGCCTTGCTGAGGAACTCTGGAGTAGCCAGCTAAAAAGATCTCCTGTAGATCCGACGTGAGGTTGGCATTTCCCCCAAGCTCCTGAATATGTCTTTCCCTATTAGTTGCTTTTAAGGGTGCACAGGTTTCTCTCCTCCTGCAGAAGCACCAAACCAAGACCAAATGGGGGTACTCAGGCCGCCATCTTGAAATGCACCAATTCACCCCTGCATTTAATATTTTCTTCTGTTTGTGCTGACATGGTCAACTCCCTACTGGGAAAATATCCACACAGGTTCTAGAACTTTCCTTCTTCCTAGTAACCACAACATTGTTGCTTCCGTGTTTGACTCAGCCATTTTCTTCCATGTGGAAGTAAGTGTGTATGTGTGTGTGTGTGTGTGTGTGTGTGTGTGAGTGGAGTGTGCATGTAAACGTGTGGGTGTGTGTCTAAATATAATCGCACCATAATTTATTCAGCTATATGGAGTTGTAGACTAGAAAGACAAACTGGTATTTGCTTTAACTACCTGCTGCTTGTAAGCGCTGCCTCTGTAACTCAGGCGTAACTGTTATACATTAAAAAAAATTAAAAGCACTGTGAAGGTCTGTCCTCAATCGACTGCTGTTATGGGGCTGGGGGCTGGGATGTTGGGGAACCGCACAGTGGGCTGAGATAGAAACTTTCTTGTACCTCACTGTGTGTATCCACTGATACCAACCTGCTGCTGATAGGCCGCATGTGCCTCAACTCAATGGACCAGTATCGATACCGATCCACACAAATCTGCAGCTGCAGCTACTGGAGTGTCCCTGTGGGCTCATGGGAGCAGCGCAGATACAGAGAGTGAGGAGAAACTTCCAGAGCAAGTGTTCCCTGCCACTGAGCTGAGGCACTCTGGTGGCTGTCCCACCAGACTGGGCTGGTGGGAGGGGCTCAGAAATGCATCTCTTATCTTAAAAGCAGAGACCCTCATGCAGGTTCTCTGGAGGGTGAATTATTAATGGAGAACACTTAAGAGAAATCTCCAAGGGAGAGACGGGATCACAGCCAAACAGAAAAGAAGCCCAACGGAAGGGTTTTCCAGGGGTCTAACCTCAGCCACTCTGACTAGGCTCCAGAGTTAGTCTACCTTGTACCTCAGGCTGGCCTTTTGTTGCATCTCGGACATCTCTGGCTGGTAGAGGAGGAGTAAAGCGCTTATCTGCCCAGCATCTCTAACCAAAGTGGCCCTGTGGGTCAAGGACACAGCTGTGAGCCCTCAGCAGTAACCTGCACTTCAGTTCAGGGACAGGTGCTCTAATCTGATACGGGGGTGGGGGGACCAGCAGTATCCATTCCATGCAAACTCTTTGGCCTAATGACTTGGGGAGTCCATGTCACCCAGAGTGCTAGTTTCCTTGGATGGCATTCTGAACAGGAAGGACTGGATGGGAGTTGGGAGAAATGATACCCGAGGAACTGGTAACAAGTTCCTGTTATCCTGTACCTGTCTAGTCCAGGTCAAGTTCTCCAGACCAGGACGTGGAAGGAGACTGGGTCTGCACAGGGCCTTAGACCAACCAGAAGCTGCCCTAGTGCCTTCTCCACGCAGTTCTTGGAGAGGGCCTCATACCAGCCCTTCGACCCTTACTGCTCTGTCCCCAGTCAGGCCCTGACCCTCAGTCAGGAAGATTTGAGGATTGTCAAAAACTCATGAGTTTCTATCCTTAACTCTGCACTGGACTGGTTGTAGGGTCTGAGGCAATTTCCACTATTTTAGAGAGCAGGGTAGATGATCTCTTAGGATCTTCCAGGGGAATTAGTTACCATGGGGATCAGTTGAGCAAAAGGATGGGCTTGACGGTAGTTCACAACATAGTGGCAGAGCTCAGAGCTGCTATCTTCAGGGATATAAGATGGATACCAAGATGGACCTTGCCCTCGGGGGGTCCTGGAGAGCTCCCTGACACCCTCCTCGGGAGCCTTACTAGTGGTATTCCAACGGTCTTTGTCTGCACCCCAAGGAAAGCTGAGTGGGCCTCTGGCCGGCACACTACTGCCCAGCCAGATTTCTATGTGTGGAGAGAAAGGTAGTT